CAGTAACTTTACATTTGCGAAAACATCGGCATAAAAATATATACCATTGCTGATATCGATGTTTGCATAGCCTTTTTAGCAAAGATATTACCATATCGATGGTCGACGTTATCGACTCTGGTTGAGTAAAGGTCTTCGGCAAGTAGAATAGCTTATAGTTTGGGTCAAAAATGAAGTCATAGCTTAATAAGTGTCGGCAACATTTGTAAAATTTATGTAATTGCGATTACATGCAATTTGTGTACATTTATAACGTTGCTGACTTGTTTGTACTATCTTTACAAAATCTTGACAAAGTGTGGAGTAAACAATTCACTAAGTGATGCGTCTAAGCAAAAAGCGTTTAAGACTTTTCTTTCTTCATGGGCAATACGAAAAGAGTTGAATTAATTATACTCGTGAAACGAGAGTCCATCGTGAAGCCGAAACACATGCAAGAACAAGCGCTCACTGCTACTAGCTGCCAAAGGCAAAAAGATCAAGCAAGTTCTTCTAGACGCAAATTAAAGCTCGTGAAACACGAAGTATTCTATTTCAGTTGTACATATTTTGCGAGGACGCGTTTCGTTTCTCTCGCTTAATAATTAAGTATACATAATTTGAGAAACCTGAAATCAATTACAATGCAACGGGAACGAAATACTTCTCGAAATTACGAAAAATTGTATATGATCGATTGATATATTTTACCAGCGATTGACAATCGAACATCAGTAATTGTCTAATGATCTTTCTCTATCGATAATCAACAACGTTTGGATAAACACAAACGGCAGACCCTTACCCTTCCTTTCAATGTTGAATGCGCTTTATCGGCAAGGAGACTTTTTGTATATCTGTATCGTATTTGTCACGCATATATGTGCTCGCACATACCGTTCCTATGGCTGATATTTTTTGGTATATATGCAATATGAAATACATTTTTCAAAATATGGGATGCGTTTTTCTATAACATCATTTGATGTCCTGTCGAAGTATGAAATCTTTTTTGCATTTATGTGTTTCAGTTTCCCGGTGTCCAAGGTTATCTACAAGTATCTATTGAATTTTATATGTTATATATATAAAACGTTTTGTACATCTTTTTCATTAAAAGGTAAATTCTTGTATGTTTTAATGAATGATATTAGTGTATATAGACAATCATAGCAATACAATATATATCAGAAAAGCATGTATATGTTCAGTACGTGCGATAAGTTGTAAATTTGCATACCTATTCACTCCAATTATATGCTCTACTGCATCATTCTGAACAAATTTCCTATTAGGTAGTTGTTGTAAAGAGAAAGTTATTTGTAACATTATTGATATTTCCATTTAGGATCCTGATTTACAGTCCCGTCTTGCCTATTTCACAATAATGGACAAATCTTTTTCATCTTTCGTCATCCTTGTATCCTGCGAATATATGAAGTCAATCACGAATCTAAGAAACTGCGATTTCCTTAATGATATGTACCTGATCAAAAATAGTCAGAACAATACCGTTTTCCAACATGTTGTGGTAGCGCCTCGCTAATACAATTAAAAAGGTTCGATATAACGATCAGTAATGTGCGACGTGACGATTAGTAATGTGGTACGTGAAGATTTGTAATGTGCGATGGACAACTAGTAATGCTTAAGTAGAAAATTGGTTGTCCAGTCGAATTCTACAGTAGGATTGAGGGTGGCAGAAGGCAATGAGATCTGAGGACTTATACATCTTAATTGCAGAATGTGATGAAGGGTTCAGATGCCATTTCTTTCACTTTCATGTGATTCCCTTTGCATGTAAAGAATGCCTTGTAGTGACTAATCTATTACCCATTTTATTTGGATGCCATTTTTTTTGTTTTTACTCCATGACAATTTATAATTAGGATGTTTCTTAGCTACATGACAACTTTGCTTCATTTATGTGGGCGCTCAACTAAATCTTGTTAATCATTTGTGATTAAACAGATATAAAAATATCACTCTATTTTCATTCCTCGAAATAAATATAAGGTGCTTTTTCGACATCTTCGTTTTGTGAGGTTTGTTAGACGAACGCTGCATGCACGCCAGGGCTTGCAGGCAAGTTCAATGTCTTGCCTTAGAGGTAAACGAAATATGGGAAACCGACATTAATATGTATGAACGTAATTACTAGCTTGCGGTACTTTTTTTGCTACCCCTAGCCGATAAAAACCACTTGGCAATGAACTCGTGTCTGTACCGTTTCATGGCGGTATTCTAAAGCGATCGCACCCTCTGCAGGAGCTTTGCGAACAACGACCGCAACATTTCGCAGACCATTAGTATCACCACATCAGCATCCTCGGCTATCTATCGACGATTCCATACCTCTTGACCATGGTCCATATCCGTTTCGTCGTCTACAAAGCCAAAGACGCATTTAAAAACGCTAGAATCATTAGTCGGCATTTCCGAGCTGCGTTATGGCATTATCGCGCCATTTAGCGGCCTTGTGCGTTAAATATGGCAATGTTTCGTATCGTGTGCGATCCGATATTCCTGCATTAGAATCAGTTAGCGTGGCTTCTTCGTCCAAATATTGAGATGTCCTGAAGTTTATATGCTTTCTGATTCGGCCGATTCAGCAGACCATGTTTTGAATGTACACCTTCGGTTGATAATCGCGTTTTGTACCATCTTAAAAACCCATTTAAACACTCTTATGCGATGTCTAAGCAACCAAAGCACTTGTCGATACCTTTAGAACATGCTAGTACGCAATTTGATGGCAACATGTCCACCAGTTTCTCAACTTTATAGTCTATCTTCCAATCTGGCATCCTGTAATACCACAGTGAGGCATGTATATTCACACTACGATACTAAGGTGATGATCTCAAATCACCACAGTGTAAGGATTGCGACCGCTTCCCGTAATATTATTGGTTTACGTTAAACGTTCATATCAATCCACAGTAAAGAACACGTGTCCTGAAGAAAGTACAGACAAGCACACCAGTGCAAAGCAGACTCTCTCGATTGAGATATGTGAGTCTGGTGTACATAAGTTTCTACAGTTCAGCATCATACCCCTCACGAAGGCTGTAAAAAACAGCTTAATTCGGCAGGTATTTCAAATTACGAAACCAATAGATAGCCGCACATTGTGAATCGTGCGCTTTCGCAATTGTTATGGACCAGGACCATAAAATTCGAATGATCAATATCTTGCGTGCTGAAAATCCAACCTGGCGATATTTTGTCGGGGAATACAGCGTGTTAGCGGCCGTTTAGACTGTTTTGGGTATACGTCATCAAGGTTTGGGTACTGATGCTGATGGCCGTAGTGGTGTGGTATAATAGTTTGTCGAACTTTTCGCGATGAACAATAACAATTTCAGCCTCTAGCGCCATGTTTGAAATGGCGACGATGCTCATTTGTATTTGGCTGTCAGTGTTTGCGACTAGAGAGCTGACCATGCAAATGATAAAAATACCGATCATTCTCTGGTTATCTTCTTCTCATCGCCGCACGCGTCAATTAAATAATGGGCCGTACTAGTCTGGTCGTGTCACTCTAATTTCGGCAAGTGCAATATTTATATGGCTCGAGCTTTGCCGGAATAAACACATGCTGTTGCTGAAGATGTAGTGGAGCTACACAGCTCCTTAAGTCAGAGGAAGATAACGCTCAACGAACAACTTTGGTTCAAAGAACCCGACTCAAGATTCAACAAGCTCAAAGAACTTACGGTCCCTGTTCCAGGGGGGGGCCAAATGATTCAAGAGAATTACAGCACAGAGTGCTCAAGAGCAGCTATCTTTACAGGCGTTAATAGCTCTTCCGATCAAGACGCCTCGTAAGGCACGTGTCTTATGTTAATCAAAATGGGAACTTAATTTTATTTCTTCTTTTAACCTAAAAGATCACCTTAGAACAGAGTAATTAACCTACTCACTAATGTTCTAAATAGACCTATTAAAAGATTTCGTAATCAATGGTTGACAGACATCAGTCTTCAACAATTGACACTGTGTTCTAATACTACTTTAAATGGAATCCCATCCCTTGTGTGCACCACACCTATTGTCGACTACCAATTGACGTGCAACCCCGTAACAGAAGCTTTGCGAATTTTCTTGTGGATTTTTAGCCGTCATCGTGACTGCATTCACCTTGGATGACCCCCCAGCTCTTTGCAATATACCGAGACCATCTGACGTCAATCGCGATTTATTCTACAATCTTTGACATTTACAGGCCGTGAATGAAGCTACCATATAAGTTACGAGAGTCGGTACGATACCGCCCGTACGTACACCATCATTACTTCTCACTTGTTCTGAGGCTTCCATTAGCCAAATTGTTTCCTAACCTCCAATTTTTAATCTTGTACACCCATGTTTGAGGTACTTATTTTGTGTTATACAAGTTCAGCTGCATGCTAACTGATGAAGATACTGCAGCTATCGTGATTCACGGTTCTAGCTCAATCACTTCTAGCGCTGCTCATTTCAGCACTCACCATTGATCGTCACTTCTTCGCTCGCATACGTCAATTCCCGCATTTATTGAGCCTATTGACGAAGTAAGTGGAATAGAGTATATTAATTTAAGCACGTTCGCTTATACTCACGTGCGACTATGAGACGCACGGAACAGAACATAAAGCAAAAGGAAGAATAGAATGTGCTGTAAAGACATCCGCCACCGCCCAAACCCTCTTGCGAATCGTAGTCGCACGGAACGGAACATAGAGCAAAAGGACGAATAGAATGTGCTGTAAAGACATTCGCCACCGCCCAAACCCTGTTGCGAATCGTAGTCGCACGGGATGGGCCATAGAGAAAAATGAAGAATAGAATGTGCTGTAAAGACATCCGCCACAGCCCAAACTGCTTGCAAATCACAGTCGCAAAATTGGGACATGGAGGGCAAAGAGGCAGATGGAATGTACGGCACGAACCTACGATTTGGCCACCTGGCCGAGGAACCAACATTCAGTCCGTCACTTTCCATTTTTCTCTTCTCACGACAACGACATCACCTCGACATGCGCGTCCACTATCTCGCCTTCCTGGCATCGTCTGCTCTTTCGGCTCGTGTTGACGGTGTTGTGGAGCCCGGCGCATCGAATCAAACAGCGCTTTACTTCCCGGCGGCCGTTCGCCCATCGATTGCCAGCGACGACGATGTCACTGCCACAAGGTCGCCAACACGTGTTGGTCCACCACATGTCGAAGAAAGGGGCCTTTCCGGTACAATTGTTTCGTCCGCGTTATCGAAGTTGGGTAGTCGAGGCAAGAGCATGGTGCTGGCAAGGGCTCAAGATAAGTTCTACAACTTGCAAAAAAAATCGATAAGGGACAACGACGTTGAGCACAGTCTTCGAAATGCGCTTAAAACCAAAGCGTGGGATGATCTGTATGACCGGTACAAATTGTCTGGACATTTGATGATTGACGATCTCACCAAGCACTATGGAGATGAAATGATAGCACGTGTGCTCTCTCGGGCGCTGAGGGCCGACTCAATAAACCCTGCGAAGTTTGCAACGGCTACGACTCTGAAGGAGAAGCTGGCGTTGGACCAGCTCACAAGGTGGCAAACGAAGGAAAAAACACTTGATGACGTGTTTCACACACTCAGGCTGAACCATCTTGACTTTACACCCGACGCTCTGGCACACATTGCCTTGCTGAAAAAAAATCTTGAGGTCGTTGTGTTTGCCCGGATGATGCGTAGTCGAAAGATGAACGTTCTGGAAAACTATAGCAAGCTTACCGCGCCCCAAAACAGCGAGGTAGCCTATCTACGTGCCCTTATGAAAGGCTTTGGTGGAGAAAAAAATTCTTCAAGCTGCTACGCCAGGCGAATGAGGACAAAGCTCTAGATGACATGACAGACGAGCTGGAAAATGTGTTCCTGAAAATGAGTTTGGCGGATAACACAAACCCCGTGGCCGCTTTTCAGATACTAGGGACTGGCCTACCAAAAGAAGAACTATTGAATGGGAGAATAATGGACAAATTGACGCCATATGTGAAGACCTACAACAAAAACAAACCTGCGGCGCGGCAGGTCACAGTACTCGACGTACTGGAAACGAATCTTGGTGGAGAGCGTGTGCTTGTTCGATCACTCGCGAAGAATAACCTACGCGAAGACACGATTCCAGTTTACGAACGCCAACTTTACGAGAAATGGTATCTCAACGGTGATAGCCCCGAGGAAGGGTTGCTACAACATACACAGCATCTTAGCCGCAGGGGTCAAACTAGCATCAAGCGCAGGTACAAAGCGTTTTATGACCAACAACCCAAGCCCAAGTGATCTTGGTGTACTTTTGCGACGGTTAGATTGTGCGGTACCTTGTAGATGCTGTAATCCTTATGAGTAAGAATGGTATGTTGGCTTTACAAGACATTATTTGACCTTATCGTGTTTTTCTGTTGCCCCAGTTAGCTCGTGTATGAACTTGTCCCATCTCACTTCACGACCCAATGGCAATAAAATACTCGCTACTAATTCGCAAATTTAGGCAGCAGTCTTTTTGGTTGTCGCGATTTTTTCATTCTTGTAATGAAATAGCAAACGTATCGTGGCCCCTTTTCAGTTCTAACCATAAGGAGTGGCGCAAAGCTTCGAGCATAAGAGGTGTCGTGCTCTATCTCACGATTTTATGAGCTAACCCTGTTGACTTGAGTTTGTAAAAATACCTTTTGGCTGCTTGTTCAGTTATAACTACGGAGGGCCAAGTTGACGTCAACGCTACAAAAGCAGACCAATCAATATCTAACTTTTGACAGCGCTCGTTATATATTGCTCTCATTAGACTATCAATAGTCCACCTTAGGGTTCACGCTGACACACGTCTGATAAATCCTGAATGCACCTTTCCACTTGCAAATTCTATTAAAATCTGAATCACATGGCTGTTCTAATGATGGAAGCACTATCATGAAGCTATGCCCGCTTGAATCGTTCAGCTGATTCTGCTGAGGCCATCATAATGCCTAAAGTTGCTCCCTCCTAAACCGCATAGCACCGCCAAAGGCAAAACTTATGCTTACCATCACAGTACCATTCCACAAGTCGCTCGTCGCCTTACAGAAGTGACGGTAAAGGCTTTTAATGAATTTTGCTAGTTGATAGATAAACTTCTGTAGTGAGACCATTAGTCATGTTCTCGATTCCCACTACTAGACTACTAAGGCTGCTAGAAAACCATTTCCAAACAGTGATTGGAATTTGACCGCCAAGGTTAAGCCTTTTGACAACGCATAATTGTTGCATTCGCTTAGGCTTCAGAGCTCGACAAAGGTCAACGTCTTCACTTGACAGTATGTACTGACTTCTATTGTAAATGCACTATCCGTCGCAAAGCTTTCTTACATCTATCGATTATGCATTAATCTAGCCGATCGTTGCGCCTTTGGATCCACCCGTTACCATGTAGTAATGTCTCTCGCTAATCCACCCACATTTTGCTTTGTTCGGCAAGTCCGAATACTTTGTTGTCCAGAACTGTTTTATGTTTGTCAGAGAAAGTAAAGCTAGCTTAGGTAACGGATTTTATGCGCTTGGCTCTCTCTTTATTATTCATAAGAAAGCCTGCTGCAAGCACGTTCTCCGCTATAAACCGGACACTTTAGATACTTTGATGTGCAAACTATATTAGAGAAGGAGCACACAGTCAGCCCTTCGTCAATAGCCATAACAATATAGGCATTTACCGCAGAACGGTTCTCATAGCAGCACGTAGGAAATTATGTGCTTTCACATTACCTCGCGTTGATCAACCACAATAAAGAAGCACGTTCACTATATTGAAGTAGAGACCCTGACCGAGTACTATATCTTCGCACCACTGAATCGACGAAACCAGAATTGCACCTCCAAATTATTCGTCTGTCTGTATTGTCCAACGTTTATTGTGCTACATCGGACATATCATATTTTTCAGCAGGATGTGCGACAAAATTAGCGAAATGCATCCAGGCCCAAGCACTAACGGAACGTCAGCAACAAATGACGGTCGATTTTGCGTTGAAATTTTTGATGGTGGTTGTCAAGCAACTCATTCATCGCTCAAAATTTTATCAGGCTAAATGTGACAGCCAAATTCTTCGTGTCGTCTCTACGGATACATGAATACAGTAGCAATTGACTGCATAGGTAACGGTTCATCGAAACGGTTGCGATAACGGCAGTATTGTGCAACACAAACATACAAAGATCAATGGATCGGGTACGCCTGTTGTGGTAGATAAAACGTCAGCGGAGGTACCTTACCGGCTATGGGGAGATATCCTACCTCAAGAAAACAAAGGGAAACCTCTATAGTACGTGAATAGCAGTCATTGTGTGGCAATCGTAAGAATTCATCTTTAGATCTTCAAATTGGCTAGTAAGACCGTTGCGGTGCGTACTAACACGAGGTTTATCTCCACGAATAACATCATAGTACATTCAGGGTCCCTTGCATTCAATAAACGACACATGCCTTGCCAACGCTCCTTGTTATCGTATGAGTGAAGCACCTTCCGTGGCGTGTACGCATGGGTACTAGTTACCACTTAAGTACACGAATCGCGGTGACCTACAAGAGAACTAAAAGATCTACGAGCTTATTGACTCCGATATTTATAGTTAAAATTTTCCGTTTGACGCTTGGTTCCTGTACAATATTGCACGTGAAGTTTACTTGTATGTGCAAACTCTTTTCTTGGTGTAAATTGATTAAATTGTTATCAGTGCGATGGTCAGATACCTGGTAACACACCATGTTCCATCATCGATCATAACAAATTGGGTATGAATCCAGAATATACACTAACCGTCTACGCTTCGCAAGGAAGCAAATGAACTAAGCATCACTCTAACTGGCAGTAAGATGAGCTAATATATGGATCCGTCGGCGATACCGCGGACTGGGACATATTGCACACAGATAACAGATTAGACACCGTACAATCATCGTTCAACCCATGCACGATAAGATTAACCATGCGATTGAAACGCCTTGCAAGAGTAGCTGGGTGACCAGCATCGCGATATGCTATCTTAGATCATTTCTCGACAAGATCGTTTGCTGGCTAACATTAATTTACATTAGTCAGAATTGTCGAGACTAGATTGGCTGGTACGTTTTGTAGACAATTTAGCAAAAAAATAAACATGGAATGCATATGTCCAATCCCCCTAGAGATAAACGCTCAACTTAATGTTTGGTTCATCGAACCATATGGATGCTGTAGACTCTCGTCCCATCGATTATAATGCGACTAGATAGAAGTTTGGCAATCTAAAACAGGCAGAAGTGCGAACCACAGTTTATTTAAGTAAAGACATACGATCATCGGCTTTTATGACATTAAAACGGTGAGGCGCCGCTCAGTTAACTTTAATCGCACACGATTAATATAAGCTAGAGATCAACTTCTTTACTAATTGCTTCATAAGTTTTACATTCTAATTCTCAGTAAACAGAATACATCCTAACATTTTTTGTGTGATACCACTGATAGTGGTCCGTTTGAGCATTTGCTAAATGTATCGTAGGAAGGGTTTTATAGGCCATCATTCGGCCAGGTAAATGTATATTAAGCTTATGTAAACAAAACTTGTGAATGATATGGAGTAGTATTGATTAAATCATCTTTTTATCATCTCGGCGTTATGTCGGTCAGCGAGATTACTCTGAATTGTCCGCTTGGGACCCATCGATTCGTTAAATATGAAGATCCTTCTCCTCAGTCATAAGCGGGATACAAAATTGCAGTCATCTCCAACAATATGCTATTTTTGCAATACAATCATGTGCTTTGCGTCCAGCGAGTCTAATTAAACGCAAAACAGTCGACGATCTGTCAAAAGTACCACGGAAGACTAACTGATGCTAGTTTCAAGTCGTAAAAAAAAGAAATCGGGCCGACAAAAAAAGACGTTACCTAGAGAAGGTGAGTGCCCTAGCTTCACACGCTACGTCGAAATAAGTTGAGGTTCGAAAATAACACGGTCCCGAGCACACTACCTTGGTGTGAGATATGTTGACCGATCGAAGCGACATAGCTTATAATGATTTGTGCTTCAGACGATTATGAGGCGTAGGAGATCTTTGTTCACGACGTATTTGACGGTTCTCAGTTTTTTTACAAATAGCACGTTACTCATTTAAACAGAAATATAGTACGCCCTTACACTACACTATTGGTAAAGAAAAGAGCAGTGAACTACGCTGCACATTAAGAAATATACAAAATAATAATGATTTCAGCGAAGTCAAGTGAATACTGATATTTAATGTCAATCTATAGTCAAATTACAATTAAAAAAACGCACTGTTTTACCTGGCAGCATTGATCTATGATAATAACCGCTTCCTAGATGTTATTTGTACAACTATGTCATCGGAAACCACAAGCTTCAGGATGTACAACAAAAAAGAAATATGCCGTTGGTCGTGGTAAAAATTTATCATCACGACTGCAAATTAGCGTAGTGTGGTAAACAGCCAAAATGCAGAAAAATATTACAAAGGCTTAGCAAAAGCGCTAGCAGTGTCATTGCAATCATAATTCATCACGTAGCGTAGCATTCTAATTTCCTAGAGTAGAGGGGAACTATTCACATCATTTATCAGATACTTTGAAGTGAAGGATGGATGTATGATCATTAATTGACTGGAGAGTCTATATATGAGGAACCCGCTGTGGATGCGCTATCACGACTATGTATGAAAATCAAAGAAGACCCCGTCACGTTACCGAGATGCATATTGCAATATTCAGAGTTATACCAATGGTTACAGCTCGGTCCGAGACAAATCTTGTGAATACTGTGTATATTACCAGATTAAATGTCCGTTACCAGTAAGAAGTCTATACTGGT